TTTTTTTTTTAAAGCTTTTGCTGGTCCTGGCCATGAATAATTCAGGCCCTGCTTATTGGACTCTTAAATATGCAAGTTTTAAATAAAGCATCTGCTCTCATCTAAATTGGAGTTGGCTTGGAAGAAGCCATCCCGCCCAAGGCTGTCCTGTGCCTTCAGCTTATGCAGACTGAATCCTACCGACAGCCGCCGCTTAGGGCCGGGAGCTCTCCCTTCCTGTCGGCCTGGCCGCTCTTTCCGTGTCCTCTGTTGTTAAGTAGTGTTGTTTTTCTCCCTTGCCGAGGGGATGACAGAGGGAATATATCAGCTGCTCCCTGTACATGTTTTTCTAGCTGCCTGGTGGCAGGTTTGCTCCTGCAAACCCTCTGGTTTCTCTCTTTAACAGGTCTCAGTTGCCCAGTCTCCTACTCTGGATATCATTAGCTGTAAAAGGGTTGCTGAAACCTCAGACAAATCTTAGCGCTGGCTATAAATAATTCACTTCAACGCTAGTGTTTTTCTATAGTACTTGCTCTCGAAAGCGTTTTATTGTCTGTCTGTACCTGTGGGGGCTGGAGGTTACTTTTTTTTTTAAACTTATTTTTGGAGACAATTTACCACCAAACCATCTCAGCCAGAGAAAATAAACAGTTACACTAAGGCAATAGTTTACCTTGGTTCTGGTTCCAAGAAACAGAGAGCCAGTTTTCCACCCTAACTGTCGTGCTTGGCCCTATGTTGTAGGGAACGCTATTTGTGGATGGGAGCAAAACTTAGACAAAATGTCTCCTTAGTTGGAAAGTTACTGGGAGCCTGCTTAGAGGTGCTGTTGGTGTTGTGAACCCTTGGTGCAGAAGCCATGCCTTCGTGAAGTCGAAGGGGGTTTTGCCATGTTGGCCAAGCTGGGTTCCCCCCCTCATATATTGCAGAAAAGCCACTGTTCCTTGCCCCGTCACCTTTTGCTTCTCAGCTGATGGAGGAGTGGAGGAGAGGAAGGTTTGAGGAGCTGCGCTGCTCTGAAGGGTGGAGCGAGGTGGGTTAGTGTAGCAGGAGGGCAGGAGCACCCTTGCAAAGAAGATACAGGTGAGATCCATTCAGATCTCTTCAGGGCTACTCTTGCATCGCCTCCCTGATGGCAGCTCAGGACATCTCAGTAGGTCCCATCTTCCAGGAGATGCACGCTCTCGACTTCCTTTATACCTAACTAGCGCTCTGCCCTGTTATTTTTTTCGCCCGGTCTGTGCTCAGACAGTTCAGGTGCAGGTATCGTGCGGCAGAAGATGGTTCCCAGGTCTCTGTCCCACTGTGTGATGAACACCCTCTGAATGGAGGAACTGGAGGTGCTCTGCTCCTTGTGTGCCATCTGAGCAGCTCCTATCATCCTAACGCCCAGCCCCAGTCTGCTGAGGAAGTGGCTGTGATGAGTTAGTAACGCGGCTTTGCAGCTGGTAGTGCGCGAGTAACTTTTCAGATTAGTTATAAACCAAAGGTCTGATCTGGGGTCATCTTCATCTTCTGGACTTGGACCTGCCCAAAATGGCATGGTGAGCAGATGGCACTGCTGGACACCGGTGCAAACCCTGGGCTGGCAGCTTCAGTACCCCAGGAGCTTTCCCACACCTTTGTTTCTTTTAAGTAGTTTTGTGCTTGTGCTGAAGGATTGCAGGTGAGGACTAACCTGCCCCAGTTCATAATTAACATTGACATTTGTTTTATTTCATTTAATCCTGCATAACTCACAATTAGAAGCATTCTTTCCCTTCAGCAAGGTAGGAATCTTTGGAGTAAAACAAACAGGTGGGAACTGTTTAGAAAATGCAGCAAAACCCCAAACAATGTAACAGATTTTTTGGAGGGGGGGCAGAGTAATTTGTAAACGTCATTGCTCTATAAAAGTCCATTGTAAAGAGCTTGCTGCAGGTGTGGATGTAAAGAGTGAAAGATGTGAAGGCTTCAAGTAAGAGTGTTTTTATTTGCAGCCAAGACAGGCTGAGCGGGTTGTATTGGGCAAAGTAATCTCGGGAGTGGCTGGAAATTCCGGGGGATAAATTTAATAGGAGCTCCAGTGGATGTGGAAACGGAAATAAAATAGCACCCTATAATGTAGCAGCTGCTTTCCTCAGCAAGGCCCCTGGCTCACTGTAAGTAACTGCCTTTATAAAACTTGAGTGTTACTCTTATCTTAAGACATGGTTTTGGAGTGTAGCGGTCGCGTCTGTGCAGGGAGTTGCGTTGCGCTTGTGACAACTGCGGAGGTCTCCGGGCTGTCCTGCGTCAGTTAGCAGCTTCTTGGTAATGCAGCCTTTAAAAAAAAAAAAAAAAAAGGGAAAACAAAAACATCAGTTTTTAATTGCCTTGGTACAGTACAGCCGTGGGTGTTGGAATATTTTAACACCTGCCCTGCTCAACAGTTGCTTATTGTTACTCGGTTTTACAGCGGAGCCCGAGCTGTCGGAGGGCGGCTGTGGGCCGGCAGAATTTGCCCAGGAGGCTGGGGCAAAGCAGCAGGAGACTCGAGAGGTGCTGTGAGATAGCGCTGGGCTTGCTGAGCACGGTTCTCTGTCGCGTGGTGTGAAAGCGTTTGCAGGTGAAGTGAGCTGTGTTTCAAGGCCAAATTGAAGAGCCCTTCTGCTCTGAAAAGTTGGCCGTGTTGGCTCCGTTCTCCGTTTCGTGTGCTCGCCGCTTGGAGGTTTGAGCGGTGAAAGTAACGCGAGGGCCTCTCCGCTCCCTCAGCCCCTTCCTGCTAGGAAGGACGGCGAGGACAAGCCAGACTCTGTTTCTGTGTGTCAGCAGCGAGCGGCTGCCCGAATTCCAGCGCCGTCCTCCTGTGCCAAACCCGCCGCAGCAGAGCTTGGCCTGCGCGCGCCTGGTTGCTGGTGTTGGTGGTGGGGGGAAGAAAGGAAAAGCTGTAGCTTGCTTCCTGGAGCCCGGCGGAGGGTGCCGCGCGGGAGGGCAGAGGGCTCTGCTCTTGGCTCCGAGGTCGCGCCCGCCAAGATGGTTGTTTTTAGCCGGGTGCCTCCTCTCCTTGGACGCGCTCCAGAGCCATTGCAGCTGCTGGAGAGACTCCCACCGCCTTCGCAGGGCTCTGGATCGTTCCCTTTCTATCCTCCTCGCCCAGCTGCTTAATGAGCTAGGTAAGACTTAACACTGGTGATCACAGTTTGTGGACTGGGGCCAAACCGCGTCCAAGACCCCCTGCCTTTTAGGCCTGCTCTTGACAAAACGCTTCCCCTCTCTTCCTCGCATCGAGCAGCTTCAAAGGCTGTTTGACTTCTCCTGGTTTGGTACCTGGGGAGGATACTTGTACCACGTGGCTCGGGAGGGCTTGGGCCATCTTGTTTAGGGGGAAAGAAAAAAAGCTATGCTTTTCTCCCAGCTTTGAATCTCCTCTGTGTGATTTTTTTCACTTGTTTGTTTTTTTTGTTTAAGAGGCACATCTGTCTGAAGTGTTAAAAACACCCTCGGAGCTGCTGCAACAAACCTTGATCCTTGGGCGTAGTAAAAGGTTTTATGTGTTTTTGTAGGATCCCTTTACAATTCCCACAGGAGAATCCTGCTAGGAAAAATACAGCCACAAAAAAGTTTTATGCTTGTTTTTTAAAACAACCCCCCCAATTTCCAGGTATTATCAACTGCATCGTGTTAGCAGGTGAAAGATATTTGAGCCCAATGGGAACAGTCAGCGGCGTTGCTGTCACGGGTCCGTGTGCCTTTCTAACTTGCCAGGGCTGTGTAACTGCCTGTGGCTGGGGTAGTTTCTTTCCTCCTCCATCTTGAGAAAATAAATCCTAACTCTCTACCACAGAGGAGTATTCATTTTTTCCTCAATATAAAATCTCATTAATAATGAATACCAAGATTATAATTATAAATAGTGATGCAGGTGCCTTTGAATAAACAGTGGTAAAACAAGGTTTCCCGTGGTCTTAGGGAGAATCTGATGGGCCAGATTTGGGAATCTTCTGAGCTTTGGCTTGTTCTGGCCAGTCTGAACGTGGGTACTTGGACGTGGGTAGAGCACAAAGCGAAAGCTCATCTCTGCAGCAGGGGTGGGTGGCTTGCGGGAGGCTCCACCGCATGACCTTGGGCGCCAAGCCTTGGTGTGGGCACAGATGCCCGCTGCATGTGGTGGGACAGGAGAGGGCAGATGGGCTTTCCAGGCAGCACAGCAACAGTGTTGAGGAGGAGGAGGATGACGACAGCAGCGTGGCCTGAAGGGATTTTTTTAGGAGGTTTGATATGGGTAGCATGAAGGGAAAATGATCTAGGCCAGGTTCTTGCACACTGCTGAGAGCACGTCCAAAATCCATGGATTACTTGGCATTTCCAGCAGCGCCAGTGAGAATGCAGCTCGGCGTGAATCCTCTTCTCCACCCACGACTTTGCTTGGCCGTTCCTAGTTGATGAGCTCTTGCAAGGAATCTTTCTGTTCCTGTGATGACTTCCCCCCTGCTGTCTGGAGCGGGGAAGACGTTTCATGTTAATTATGCAACTTTTTGCTGTTAGCCCATCTGTTTTCTGGGCAGCTGTGGCAGGCTTGTAGCTTCTCAGCAGGACGGAACCTCCTTGCTCCGCTCCTTTCCCTGATGCTGAGGGGCTGGAAAGGGGCAGCATGCCGTGTCAGTAGTGACTGAGCTGGCTACAGGGCCTTGGTGGGTGGCTGCAGTGCTGCATCTGCGTGCTGCTCCCCGTGTAATGTCCCGCTCTGCCTGTGAGCAGAATGGGCCCTGCAGGCATGCCTGCTCCGTGGTGGGTGCAGAGAGCCCCGAAGGAGCAAATGCTCCAGGAGATGGTCAGTGTGTGACAGCCAAGTTCTGGAGCTGTGGCTCCCGGGCCCATAAAGAGTTGAAATATCTTGGAGTCTTGGTGGCTGCATGGGCTCCCTTGGTGCATCCTTCTGGGGAACAGACAGAAGTTGAGAGCTCTATCCTTGAAGAGTTTGCAGTGTTTTGAGCAGTCTTAGTTCAGGGGAAAGCAGAGCTTGGTGGTTTTTTTAAAGTCTCCTTTCTCTTTGTGCTCAGGTCTCAGGAGCTGCACCTGAGGACGGAGGCGCACTCTTACCTCTCTGACCTGGCCAAGCCGTCGGACTTAGAGTTCATTGAAACGAAGAGACCACGCCTGGATCTGCTACAGGACCCGCTGATGCGGCACTCGCCTCTCCTGAGTCAAAGCCAGCAGGGCGGGACGGAGGACCTCTCAAAGGTAAGGGGAGAGCCACTCAGGCTGCTAGGAGGGTGTACGTTTTGGGATGCACTTGGCATGCTGGTGTGGAAACTGCCACTGAAGAAATCTGTGTTGATTGTGGTTCCTGATATATCAAGGCATGTGCTTTGTGTTGTTGAATGCCAGCTGCTGAGAGGTGACCTCCTTGGGCAAAGTTGGCTGCTGGTGGTTCTTTAGCATAATCTTCCCCAGGAAAACCTCCCTTGTCTTAGTCTTACGTAAGAAAGCAAATTGTTTACTTGCAGTTGTCCCCTCTTCACGTATAATACATATTACAAAGAAATACCTTGCTTGCGTGCCTATGTATTTGGATTTAGTTCCACGCTCTGTGGGGTAAATCATATATGGCTTTACCTTGCGTTTGGAATTATTTCGGGTTGGCAGGAAAGTCCTGCTGGACAAACAGGCTGGGGGCAGCTGGCTCGAGCTGCCGATGCGAGCATCAGCCTGTGAACGCAGAGGGTTAATGCAGCTGCAAGTTGGGCTTCAGAGATTTTGTAGCCATTGTTAAATGAGCAGGAAGTTGGCATCCTTACCCAGGGGCAATGGGGATGTTTTGCTATCTTGCTGTGGGAGCTGATTTGAAGTAACATGCGGACAAGAAAGCTCTCTTGCTCGGGAGAGTCAGGATATTCCTATTCTCTTGGTGCTTGCGGCTCTTACGTGAGGTCCTGAGCGAGAAGGATATTTAAGTAGGGCAAAACAAGGGTAATTCAGATTCCAAGAGGAATGTGGCTGGATTTCCTGGAGAAAAGGGCAGCAGTGACTGCAGATTGAGAATGGCTAGTGCTAACGTAATTAGTGAGCTGGCGCTGGGAAGGGATAGAACAGCTTATTGCTAAGAGCCAAATTTGAACTTGGGGACCGTGAGAAACGCAGCAGACATATCAGCTCTCTTAGCTCTTGATAGTGTGTTGCCTTGAAAAAAAATGCCTCCTAGGTGCTGTGGCCCTTTTACCTTCCATTCTTTGCTGCTCCCTCCAAGACTCGTCTTAATGAGGTGATACCGTGACCAGCCAGGAGCCTGCTTTCCATGCCACTGAGATAAACAGCAGTGGCTCTGAACCAGAGGAGAGTACGTTCAGGGGATTCTGGTGGGGGAAACAAACTACTGGCCATGTAATACACAAAAATAAAATCCTCTCTCCAAAGAGCGTGAGGAAACCAGGACAGCTTTTCTGTCTGCACATTATTTCCATCAGCAGTCCTGTTCTGCTTCTCACCAGAAAACAACGTATTGTCTCGGCTATTTGTTCCTAATAGGCAAAGGCGCTCTTGAGGCATTAGTTGCTGCGTTAGGGGCTGCATTTGCTTCTTGGACTGCGACACATTTCCAAGAATTACATGTGTTTTATGGGGCTTAAAACATTTCTTA